TGCCAGTGGTTCTCTCCTTCGTGTGTGTGTGAAACCTATCGGGGATTTTTTTTTTTTTTGCTGTCCTTGGATTTGTTGAAGTCTAGATTTGCTGTCTCCTGAAGGTTTCGCTCCCCAGCAACATCAAGTTGGCAAGTGTTACTCAGCTTCTTTGCTGATGGTTGTCTTAAGTCAAAGCAGAGATGGCAGAAAACAGGGGAATGTGACAGTGCCTTTAAAATAAAAAAGAGTGTAATATTATTGTTGGTCCTGTTTTAGAGCTGAGCAGTTAAAGTAAAATGGGTTTTTCTGCCAGTGGTTCTCTCCTTTGTGTGTGCGTGAAACCTATCGGGGTTTTTTTTTTGCTGTCCTTGGATTTGTTGTAGTCTAGATTTGCTGTCTCCTGAAGGTTTCGCTCCCCAGCAACATCAAGTTGGCAAGTGTTACTCAGCTTCTTTGCTGATGGTTGTCTTAAGTCAAAGCAGAGATGGCAGAAAACAGGGGAATGTGACAGTGCCTTTAAAATAAAAAAGAGTGTAATATTATTGTTGGTCCTAGGAAGGCTGTTTGTGTCCCACTGACTTTCTGTCTTAAATGTCCTTCTCTCTCTAAATGTTTAATATAGGGAAAGAAAGAAAACCTTTTTTTCTTTATCTTTCTGTGCCTGTAACCCCCTTTAACTCAAACAGGGAATAGACTTATAAGTACCCTGCACGTATAATAAATATATGCTTCTTTCTAAGATGACAGCTTAATTTCATAGCTGGCACTAAACCTTCTAGCTTGGCCATAGACTTTCAGCGTCCTCCATAAACCTGGCCTTGGCAACAACAGCAAAGTTTCCAGTAAGCAGTCTGACTGGAACAGGCTGACTTCAGTGTCCTGGAGCTGGGATAGCATTTGATGGTCCCTTCGCTACCCACGAGACCGTCTCTCAGGGTGCCAGCGTAGGCAGTTCATGCCAAGTCCCATACTAGGGAAGCTGATGGTATGGATTTCCCAGCTGATTTTTCTGGCTGTTGAAACGCACCCCAACTATTAATATTCATGTTTATTTTTTAAGGGAATTAAGTGCTATTAGAGTGGTAGCCTGGAGGAAAGAGCCTCTCTGGGGGCTAGTACTAGTTAATGCTTTCTTAGTAGGCAGATGTCACTGAAGGAACTTTCCAGAAGGCTGCTGTCAGGGCCTCCATGTAGCGTCAACGTGTTTGCTGTTCTGATCCCCTCTAGGTCAGGGAAGGTATGGTGGATCTGCAAAGGGTTCAGAGAAAGAACTGGGTCAGCTGGGACTTTTCAGCATGTAAGAGATGAAGTAGAAATCTGTATAGCAGTGAGAGGTAGGGAGGGGGACTGTAAACTGTTCACTGCTTTATCCTCCAGAAGAACTAGCAAACAAAACTAGTTGGAGTCAGGTTTAGATCAAACGGAAAGATGTGCTGTGTTCCATAAGCAATGCAGCAAGCCACAGAACTAGCTGCAGGATGTCATAGTCAGTAAAAGTTTATAAGGGGAGACATGACATAAGGGGTAGTGGGTTCAAGTTGCACCAGGGTACGTTTAGACTGGACATTAGGAAACAATTCTTCACAGAGAGAGAGTGGTCGGGCATTGGAATAGGCTGCCCAGGGAGGGGGTTGAGTCCCCATCCCTGGCTGTGTTTAAGAACCGTTTAGATGTGGTGTTGGGGGATATGGTGTAGGGGAGTACTTTAGAGTAGGGTGGATGGCTGGACTCGATGATCCTGAGGGTCTCTTCCAGCCTAGATAATTCTGTGATTCTGTGACAAATTGATGGAAAGGGAAAAAACATTGTTACTCACTAAATACAAACTCCCTGTCTCTGCAAATTTCTGATCCACAACTGGTTGAGACATGCAATACACGCAGGAAGGAAGTACATCCTTGTGCTGTACCTCTCTTCTACTCTAAGCTTCTGGTTTTGACCGTGGCTGTAGGTGAAACAGACAAGTTGGGCCTTTGGTTTATCCCAGTATGTCTCGTTTATGTTCTTCAGGATGTAATGGGACAGATGAGACCTTCGTAGTGGCTACTTGTAGGTGCGTGCTAGAAATGAGAAAAATCTGATCTCCCTGCAGTTCCTGCTGTACTGCTGTCAGTGCCAGGCCATTGAATGCTGGTGACGATGGCACATTTTGAATCATTACATCTATTTGACGTCGACTGAAAAAAATCCTGTAAGATTTGCTTCGCTCAGCCCTTAAACACCATTCAAACAGGAGTGACGACCAATTAGTTCTGTATTCTGTTAGTAAATACTGTGAATATTCAGTTCCCACAGATTTCTGTTAATTTGTGCAGAGACTTTTTTTGCCATTTTTTGTGCGTAAGTATGTACATTTATTCTGTGTAATTTGCATACCTAATTGCAAATGTATGTAAAATAAGATACTAATTCATTAAAAGACATTTATTCTTTGTTTTTTCCTTGATTTCAAGAAAAGCGGCATATTTTATTTTTCTGAAACACACACCCCCCCTTTATTTTTTTCAGAGATGTTTTTAGTGCTAGTTTTGCAAGACTCAAAGGAGTTGAGAGATCTTGGTTTGACTTTGTGCACTCAGGAAGCTTTGGGGATTTTGATAGAAAAATTTCTGGAATGTAGTTCTCTTCAGCAGAAGTTTTTTTTTTCCTTTTGCTTATTATATAAAATGATGATAGGGAGTTCTGCCCCTGTTTTTGCTTCCCCAAGCTGCATTGAATGATTCTCCTCACCTGAGGGCCAAGGTGTGAATTGCTGTCGGCAGACCATGGGCAAGCAGGGGCCCCTCATGATGTAAGTGGTTTGTTAAGGAGCCTGCAGACCTCTCACTCAATGACTCCTCTGTCCACATACAGCTTGGGAACAGTCACGGGGCCTTTTTTTCAGATGTGAAATCTGTCAGCAAAGTGAAGTCAGCTTAAATATCAGCTGAGGCTTGAGCTCCCTTTCAGTTTTTGTTGACTTTATCCCCTCCTGCTCCTTCCCGATCAAGTTTCTCTCTGCTTGAGTCAGACTTGCCGACACTTAAAAGTTTTTATTCTGTGTTTCAGTTGTGTGGATTTGTGTGTGGCAAAGTTCAGGTGCCCTTCAAGTTCCCAGCCTCAACAATGGTCTGAAACACTGAGGAGAGAGAGACCATTCTGGGTCTTTGAGACTCCTTAGCTGCTACAGTTTGATTAGAAACCAGTAGAAGTGGTTCTGGTACCCATCAGCCATACTCAAGTGATGCTGTGCAGACCCCCCGGAGTTTTTTTTCTGTTGTACCTGCTGCTACTAAGCTGAGGAATTCTAGTTGTGAATCAGAATCCCTTCTGCTCCCCAAATACAGAACAAAAATTGCTCTCTGTGCCAGAATTTATCATCAGAATATAAGACATAACCCATGGGGTACAGACGGGCAGGTGAAATACAAGGGAGCAGTGAGCACATGTTAGGTGTGTGCTGAGCCTGTCGCAGGGGCAGGATGCTGAGGTCGTGCCGTGTGTGCTGGCTGACCATGCAAACATCTGCAGGTTTGGGATGAACCTGTGGTGTCATTGCCTGTCAGTGTAAAAGCATTTTATGTATTGAAAGCTTGAGGGGATTCTTGGCTGTGGCAAGGAATTTCAGATGTTGTGGCTTATTTATAAAAAGAAAAGAACAAACACAGTAACTGCAAGGGAGAGGAAAACTAGGGAAGGGGAGAATAACAGTTCCTGCTTCTGGTTTTTGTCACTGTCCTAAGGATAAAAGTTAGGAGTTACATTGTTGTCTTCTTTTACCCTAGACTTAAACATGTTTTAAATCCTGTGATCAGCTGCCTTGACTGCTTTCTGTCCTACGTGTATGCTTTTTTTTTTCTTTCTGTGATACCTTCAGTGGTTTCCAAAGTTGAAATAATCTTCCTGCTTCTGAAAGGGCCAGAATGTTTGAAGACTTGTCATTGAGAACTTCTGGTTTTTCTCTCTGTGATACCTTCAGAGGTTTCCAAAGTTGAAATAATCTTCCTGCTTCTGAAAGGGCCAGAATGTTTGAAGACTTGTAATTGAGAACTTCTGGCTGTTGAGCCAATTAGGTCTTAATGTCCCGTGGGTACTCTGTGCATCTCTTCCCCCTTTAATGGCTGGTCTGTATAGGAGGCAGCAGCCTGGCACTTCTCCGTGCACCCGTCACTCCTCTGCAGGTGGTGGTTGAAGAGGCAGCGTTAGGGCTGAAGGTGCCAGGCTGGCTGCAGAAGCCACTTTGGGGCTTCCCTCTGTTCTTTGGTACATGCCATCTGTGTATTCTGCTCTCTGGTTAACGATCTTTGGAAATAACCTTCTCTGTGTAATAAGCTAATAAGGGACAGGGTCCTACCTACCCCTTGGTAGGAAGCAGTGTTGGATGTCCTTTGTTTTCCAGGTGAGGACAATGGTGGAATGTGCTGGAAAGGTGATGGCAGCGTGGGTAGAATGGGGTATCCCATTCTGTTCCCTGCCGAGGTGCGTGCAGGTGCTCTCTGCACTGGATAAGGTGGTGTTAAAGCATAAACTTCTGCGTCTCTTGGGATCATGCTGGAGAGATGCTATTGAAAGGGAAGAATGCATTGCAGTCTGGAGAAACAGATGGTGGGGCAGGGTGGGGTGTTTGCCGCCTCCATTTAACTGGAAAATACAAGTCACAATTTAAGATTTCTCAGTACATGAAAACATCAACTGGGAAGTGGCTGCAGTAGTAATGAATTATTGTTATCTCATAGCTCTGTTCCAAAACCCAGGTGAATGGGAACAGGTTTTTTTTCTGTTCCTGGCTTGCTGGGCACTTGGCAGTCAATGTCTATAAATCCATAATCTTCTTGTGTCACAGCTAAATGTAGGAGGAAGCTCTCAACCCAGAAGTCCCTGAGTCCTTAGGGATGTAGACATAGTGGTGTTTGCTGAGAGGGAAAACAGGCCCAAAGGTCTCCTAATGTGAACGATACCCATATCCAGCTGATCTGAGAAAGGTGATGTTGGTTTGACTTTTTTTCTCCACCCCTCCCAACCTCTCTTATGTCTTCCAGAGAAAGTTCACTCCTGTGACCAGGAAAGGCAGAGCGCCCTGGAGGAGGCCAGGCAGAACCCCCGTGAGGGTATCGTCATCCCCGAGTGTGCTCCCGGAGGGCTCTACAAACCAGTGCAATGTCACCAGTCGACTGGGTACTGCTGGTGTGTCCTGGTGGACACGGGACGCCCCCTGCCTGGGACTTCCACTCGGTAAGAGCTATAGGCCTGGTGAGATGCCTGTCTGGAGAAGATGAGATATAAAAAAATACTGTTGCTGTATCAGATAGGTTCCTAATTCTAGAGCAGTCAGCTCTATACCACCTTCCTTAGAGCTAGCAAATGCTCTATGTGTTGTTCCCTATAGAATGCTACTGTGCAGCTCCTTCTCTGTAGGAGTTGGTGCGTTGTTATTGCTGCCCTTACTTTCTTTTGTGTTGAGTATTCATGCAAAGTAGCCTTTTTTTCTCTGGCTTGCAGCTTTTGGGTGGTAGCAGTAACCAGGGCTTTGCTCAAGAGTACAGATCAGGGCATGAACAGTGAAAAGACATGGGGCTTTGTTGCATTATCCTCTGCTTTACATTTCCATGCTGCAGCCACTTGGATCCTGACCAATACAGGTTTAGAAAACTGCTTGGTTTTGCATTAATGGATTTTAAGCCAGTGACAGGTTTTTCTTTAAGTTACTCTGTATCTTAAAACTATCTAGGGATTTTTTTCTAATTTGGGGTTTGGAAACAAGTCATGGGTACAACAAGCTAGTAGGAGCTGGGACTTAAACTCTGCTAGATACAGTGATACTGCAGAGCATGGACAGCTTTGGAAAAAAGCTCAGCCTGTGCCCACAAGGGTTGGAAGAGGTCTTTGTGCTGTTTGTGGGTTTGGGTTGGTAGCTGGTGCTGGACTTAAGTGTATGCTCTTCCTTCTCTCTCTACTTCTGCTGCTGACTGTCCATAAGCAAGCAGCTCCTTGGGGATAATATTTCTTCTGCAGGTTTTTGGTTTCCCCTGCAGTAAGCAGATAAGACACAACCCTTCTGCACCATCTGATGACACTAAAGCTATGTCATATAGTTTAGCATCTGCTGTTCTCCTTTTTCAGCTATGAGACCCCAGTGTGTGAAAGCGATGCCAGATCGAAGAGCACAGAGATTGATGATCCATTCAAGGACAGAGAACTTCCAGGTCAGAGAGGAACAAGAACCCGTCTCTGCCTTCTTCCTTTTCTCACCTTGGGACTCTTAAGAGGCCAAGAATATCGTTGAGGAGATGGGGGATTTCCCTCACCGTGCATGTTTTACTATGGGTTTTATTCAGTGTTATTTTGGATCACCTCCAGTTGCAGCAGTGAACTGGAAAAGGCTGGGAATGTCCTGGGGACCGGTTTATTGCCTGTCTGCCCTTTGAAAATATGTCTGGGACCAGAATTTTCAGGAAAGAAACCTGGATTCTTGGATGTCCCCTGGGGAAAGAATGGACTCAGCATTGAAAGTGCTTCATTGAAAGCCTGGCCAGGACAGGATCCTTTCCATTTAGCAGGACTTTTCAGCAGCTTGGTGCCCCCTTAGCAACGAAAGAGGACACAGCTGGCAATTGTCAGTGGACCAGCTGGCTCCCTGGCACTGCACAGACCAGGCAGGGCAGCATTCCTGGTGCACTAAGGTCCCTTAACTAGTGCTGGCTTCTCACTTAGCTGGTCTTTATACCTCATTTTATGCCTGGGACCCACTTTATCTCCCATTGCTGCTTGTTTTATATTCTGCTTTTCCCCTTTAACAGAGTGACAAGCTGTAATTTACTGTCTGCCTACCTTGTTTGTGCACTCTTAAAAATGCTATCCTATCTGCCTGTGCTCTGGTTTTTCCTTCATAATGCCTTTCTAAGGAGCAGACTGAGGGGCTCATCACTCATTGCTCTCCTGGGTGAGGGCTGACCCCTTGAAAACAGAAGCTACAGTGGGTCCCTCCCATGAGAGAGAGGTAGAGACCAAGAACTCTGCAGAAAGAGCTGATAGCTCTGGATCGACCGTTTTCCCCTGGCGTTTTCTAGGGCTAACATGAAGTGAGTTGTCCCTGAGCAGGTTAGCAAAGGAAATGAGATTTGTTCCAGATTTGCCTTCTGTGTCTCCTAATTCTCCTCCTGCTGGCTCCTAACCTTGGGCCCCATAGCTTTTTGCTTAGCAGATCTGCCCTCAGCAGGGTTCTTTTCTATGCAGCTCCTCATTTTCACAAGTGATGTAGATGCTTCCTATCTGTCTCCCTGTCACATTCAAATGAAATTGGCCAATTGGTTCAAGTATTACTTTAGAGGGTAGGAGGAGGGAAACCAGCTAAATGATTGCATTAAGGCTCATTTCCTTAGGAAATCATGCTAAAATAGAATAATCTTACTTCTGTTCTTCCCCATTCCCTTCTCTTGCTTTACTGCCTCTCCCTGCATTTTCACCCTGCCTCTCCAGAACTCCTGTGCTCTTAGGCTTTTTCTTTCTGGTTTCTCAGGAAGACAGAATGGTTTTGTTTCCCTTCTCCCTCCCCATCTGCACTGCAGTTGAACAAGGGGACACAGAAGAGGACACATGATGCTCTGTAGCTTAGTGGACTGGTCCCAGCATCAGACTCCAGGAGAGCTCCCCTCTCAGCTCAGGCCACTTTTCTGTGCCTGAGTAAACTGTTCAGCTCTGTGCTTGGCTGCATTGGTTGCCGTGATGGCTCCTGTCACTGAAAATACCCCTGTCTATGGACAGACTAGGAGATGGAGGATCTCATCCTGGTTTGTCTGCCTGAGAGATGCTGTGTTGCATGATCTTTTGATGCAGACCCGAGGTTGGTTTGATTAGCTGCTCTTGGGTGCAAGAATTCACTGCAGAGCCAGATCTGCAGGGAGTGAGAGAGGATGTTTCTTTTTACACCACCCCCCACACCCTTTAGTTCTTAGCAGATCTGAATTTTAAGAAAAACTGCTGCTTTAATTTGAGTCTGATTGTTCCATTTGCACTCAGTTATGTAAGGGAGACCCCATACCTTATTCCTCTTCTAGAGGTTCTCCCATTCTTAAGACTCCCAGCGCTGCAGGCAGTGTGCTCTTGGCCCATGTGAAGAGGCCCTGCAGAGGACAAGGTGGGGGAGACAGAAGTCCAGATCCTTGCACACCTACACATACCCTCTTCACTAACTCTGTCATGGCTGTGTCAGAAGAAAGAAAGAAGGAAGGAAAGTGTTGCTTGCACATAGCAAATGGCAAGCTGCTAATTCCTGCAGACTGTGAGATGCTGAGGCCCCAGGGAGATGACTTCTAGCAAACGGGTTTTCAACCTTCTCATTACTGCAACAAAAAGCTCCTTTAAGAGAGTGGTCTACTCTGGCTGCCATAGCAGCTTACCCATTACAATGCTGACATTTTCTGGACCATGTGCCAAACGAGTGCTGAGGGGTGTGCGTGTGTGTAATGCACATAATATGGAGACAGGCAAGGGACTGTTGGTTAGCTATTGCAGGGAACAGAGCCTGTAATACTGCAAAGGAGGGAGTTTTGTCAGATCAATTTGCAAGCTGCTTTCAGCTGTCAAGGGATTACAGTAAGTTTCTGGTGCTCTGTTTGGGGTACGCGTGCTTCTCTGCTTGTCTGAGAAAAGCAGAAAGCGTTGACACTGGTATATGTTGCTGGGACAGGCTGTTTTCTCACATCAGCTGCCTTAATCAGCTTACTGACTCATAGTGCATGGTGGCTTGGAGAAGGAGAGAGGTGAGGGATGTGGTGATGGCTTTTCTGTCACATACAGAGAAGACAACAGGATGGGAAGTGATGTGTTTTGGACAATAGTTTTGGAGGTGGTGGGTTGAAGTTAAGTATCCGTTCCTTGATAGGCTAGAGCAATTGTTGGAGTATTAATATGGTAGTAAACGAAGCATGCTTTTGCTCCTTTAAGAAACAAGGAAATGGCATAGATTGCCTCATAAAGGTGAGGAGATGGAGAATTTCGTCTCAGCTGTGTCATAACAGGCTGGCACTGTTAGGGGTAGGAGGCTCTGTCAGTCTGTGGTTATGGTGGTGGGGAACTAGACGGCCTCAGCACTAAGTAATGGAAATGGTTACGAAGTTCATCTTCAGCCCATTTTGTCCCCCTTAAGCCAGGAGTGACTGGGGGTGATTACCGTGTGTTGACTTAGACTGACGTATTTCTGGTGCAGCGTGATCCTGCAAAGAACTGAATTATTGTGGTGGCTGCTGGCAGGGAATGCTCTCTGTGCCTGAAGAGGAGAGCGCAAGCAGCACTCCTCGCTTTGGCCCGTGCTTTGGGAAGCTTTAAGCTGTCAGTTAGGACCTCAGAACAGCCATGCTTGTGGAGGAAGATGACCCAGGAGGTAATGAGTTGTTTTGCAAACTTCTCTGCAAGTGTCACCATGGGAACTCCCTTCTGCCAGGCGCTTCCAGCACATCCCTGTGGTTATTCTGGTAGAGAACTGGGAGAGGCCATAAAGCTAACCACATGGTCTTCCTGCCAGATATTGTTGGTGACCCTGTGTGTGCCTGGACAAAAACTGCAAGACAAATTACCACGCAGAGAAACCCACTGAGGGATTCTTCTGCCCTTCCTTAGGGACTGTGATGATGGGTTTCGTGTTAGAAACAAAGGAGGTTCTGGCTTATCCTTGCTGAACTGGGATAGGAGACCAATCCTGTGTGTTATTGCATTAAACCTCCTCTTTTCTTTCTGCAGGCTGCCCAGAAGGGAAGAAAGTTGAATTTATTACGAGCTTACTTGATGCTCTGACTACGGACATGGTACAGGCTATTAACTCAGCAGCACCTACTGGGGGTGGGAGGTGAGTCCAGAAAGCACTCAGGCTGAATGCCACCAAGGTGGCTCTGGGTGTCCCTGAGGCGGGGGCGGGAGGGAAGGGTGTTGCTCTGCGATGGTTCAGCTTCCTCTGTGTCGCTGGGAGAGGATCTGAGGCTGCATCTTCAGAGGCTGCTCTGTCCTGTCATCCCAGCCCTGCCTGCTGCCTCCTGCCCCTCCTCCCTGGCAGCTGCTCCGCCATAAAGGTTAGTATAGCCCATTTGAAGTGTGAAATGAGAGCTCAGTGGGAGGAAGTGGCTTGTTCTTTTGTCCCCTGGTGCATGAAAAGACCTAATAAAATGCAAATGGATTGAAGGAGACCGTGTTGGCCTAGTGGCTACCACAGGGAGTGAAGAATGCGAACCGAATTCTTGGCAGTACCAGTGCTGTGGTTTTGCTGTGGGGCCGCAGCCAGCCCGCCGATGAGGAGAGGAGCTGTTTTTCATGGCCCTCCCCTCTGACCGGCTGCCTGTTCATCCCACTTGGAAGGAGCAGCAGGTCAGGCCTGTTGAAGAGGTGAGCAGAAGTCTTGTGTTTCTGGGGGAACTGGAGAAAAGCTGAGGTCTTGTCTCCCCCTTCTGCTTGGTAACAGCAAATCCCCTCAGCGCAGCAGCTGCAACGCTGTGGCAGGACGGGTCACTAAAAATGGACTGTGATGGATTTAAAAAAAGTGCTATATTGCCTTAGCTATGCAAAGCTTCTATGATTCTGGATTGTAGGACTGTAAAGGGAGTCAGTGCTAGTTTAGCACAGAGGGATGCCACGGCGAGTGATGGGCTCATCTTCATAGGGGTGCAGAGATGAAGGAGGTGCCTCCGTGCATGAGTTTCTTCCATGGGTATTGAGAGTGATGTTGATCCCCTGCTTTCTTCTTTCAAAGTGTAGAAGGAAGCAGTGCCATCTATAACTGCTCCGGACAAAAAATCTTCTTGGGTGGCACCTCTGTGCCTCTTGGTTTCAGTAGGGATTGCCTGTGAACCCATATGGTTTTAACTTTGCATTTGGACCTTATAAATCAGGCCAGTGGCTGAGTTCCTGCACACTGGATGTTCTGTAACCCATCGAATTAGCAGTATACGCCTAGCATGTCTGTATTCGTATAAACAGGATGAAAAATGCCCCAAGGATGGGAAATACGTTGTTCTCTCCCAGTTATAAGCATTCCAATGTCAATTCTGTCTAATTTGCATGGTTCAAATGCAGTGGGTAGGGGTGGTGGGAAGCCCTGGAGAGTATTTGATATTTATTTGGCATCTTTGGCATTGGGACTGAAATTCAGCCAACGTAATCATCACTCTTAAAATAAAGCTTAATATAAACCAATATTGTAGAGACCAGAGATGTATGCCCCCACTGCACTTCTATAAACCAGCAGGCTTGCTTCCTAATGTTCCCCAAGCTTTGTGTATTTCTCAGCTTTCAATAGAGGCCTTTCTCGTAGATTTTTTTCACTGCCCAGCTCTTCACACAGTCGTCATGTTGATTTATTTTCAGCTGTAGTGTCAGCAGCCCAGTTGCAAGGGGAAAAAGAAATCTTTTAGCAGGCTGTCCTTTGCGAGGCGAAAGACGGCTACCACCCAGATACTCTGCCTGCCCACAGCCCTGATTGAATTCAGGAAACTGCTCTGGCACAAACTTCCACACATATCAGCCAGGTGAAGCACATACCCCAAAGAACATGTGTCGAGCTTTTCCATCCCACCATGCCATGATGACACCATTTATTTGGGAAGAAAAAAATAAGGGCATTTCAAGGAATTTTTGATACTTATATAAAAATTTAATCAGTACAGCTTTCCTTTCATATGAGTTTGCAGAGTTGGGAAGCCATCTCTGTGCAATAAGTCCCGCTTTCCAAGTTTCCCAAGGGGAGGAATGTCCCAATTCCTCCCTTCAGGAATATCTGAAATTGTCTGGGTGACCTAACTTGACTTTGGCACTGGAAACAAAAGCTCTTTTCCAAGATGAAGGGATATTTTACCTATAGGCCTAATCACAGGGCTAAATAATTTCTGGCCTTAATTATTAACAAAATACTGGATTTATGAAGGTGCTTATCCTGTATCTCCTTGGCCCAGGTTTGCTGAGAAGGTCATGTTGAAAAAAAAAAGAGATCTGGCTATTTGCTATTTCTTAATGTCAGTCATGTCATTTTTAATACCTTAATGCCAGTTTTCTTACTGGAGAGGCAAACTTCACTTATTGCAGGCTCTTCTCCATCTTTGCTATAATGATGGCAGAACAGATTTTGTATTAAAACAGAACTCTGTAGCCTCCCTCTTTCTGTTCCTTTTCCTCCTGGGCCTTTTGTAGAGTTTAAACAAATGCATCCAGTGAGCTAAGGCAAATTTTTAATGTATCGCCAGCAAAGTTTATGCCTGTTGCAGAGGGCAGGACGGGCAGACAACAAACCATACCCCCAGATCAGTTGGCTCCATATATTGTCCTATGTATTTTAATCAATCAGAGAAACAAGAAGCAGGAATTTCAGAGAAGGGCGGGAGTATTCCTGTTTCTCCCTGGCAGCAGAGAGATGATACTGGCATACAATATGCATCTTTAGTATCTACATTAAAATACAGGACCAAACACAGAGCCTTTCCAAACTGTCAAGGGCTGAAAAAGCCTAACAGTGAGAGTCTTAGGGAGCTCAGCCTTCCCTAGGGTATTAAAGAGAGGAAAAAAAAAAAAAAAGGTTGAAAGATGATTTTGTATAATCTGAGTATCTCCAGAGGGACAAAAGCTCTGCAGGCTCTTTAGTCTAGCAGGGAAGAACATGATTAGTTGAATTTAAACAAACTTGTGATCAAAATTTCTTTGAAGCAAGGGCAATTCTAAGGCAGAATGAAGTCATGAGGGAGGTGACAGATTCCCTCTCTCTAAGGCTTTCATCTTAGGCCTGATGCCTTTCAGAAAGACTTGCTTTAGTCAAACCTGAATTATGCTCCTAAGAGTAATTCGATTCGCATTCTGTATGATCTACAGGAAATCAGATCAGATGACCCTGCGGCCCGTAGTCTGAATCTGGATATGGGGAGTGAAAACTTCTTGCATTTGATGAGTGTCTTCATCTTCAAGAGTTTATTTATTTATGCTGTAAAGCTATCTGTGGCTTTGCAATTAATGTCTGTATTAGCTTTTTTTTTTTTGGGGGGGGGGGGGGGTCTTCATCTTCAAGAGTTTATTTATTTATGCTGTAAAGCTATCTGTGGCTTTGCAATTAATGTCTGTATTAGCTTTTTTTTTTTTGGGGGGGGTGGGGGAGGGAGGAGCATGGGGAGAAATGAGAGATCTGCGTTTAAAAGAACACACTGAGCTGTGCTAAACTGCACACTTTGTACTTGGCACACAGAAAAACAATCTAGTAGCAGCAAAGTGAGGCTATACAACTTGGATTGCTGCAGGCCATGTAAGTAAAACCTGATAAGATTTTTTTTTTTTTTTATTGGGCATGCTTAAAACAACCTTGTAATCCCTTATAGGTCTTGTCTCGTTTAAGCAAGTTCAAAGCTATTGACTTTAATTGAGTTACTCTTGCTTTACAATAATGTAAATGAGATGAGGACTTCCCTTCCTCATGGCCCTGGTTTATATTACAGCAAAATAGGCAAGTAGACTCCATTTAGACTTTTGAAACAGAAAATCTCTGGTAAAATTCATTCTTAATTTTAAGTTTATGTAATAACTCCAAGGCACATCTTGTTACTGTATGTTTTCAAAGTAATTAAGGGAGCGCTTGTAGGAAATTGGTTTATTAACCAGTGTTTGGTATACTTTTTGAAAAGACGCATAGTAGAAATTGTTCACAGATAAATCCTATATAATAGGGGCAGCACTTTTTAGAATTAGCCTTTGCTTTAATACATTTTAGTCTCTTTTCTAATTCGGACATACTCATATTACACAGGGCCTAAACTAAAATAGACCAAAGGGGATCCCAGTCTGGGTTTCTCTCATCTGGGGAACTCTCGCTGGTCCCTGCCAATTCAGAAATTAATTCTAGTTGCCAAAATGTGTGCATTATGGCTTGCTACATTATCAGCAAACATATTAATGCCCTGTGGAATTTTGGGTTAAAAGGGCAGCTTCCAACAGCCACCCTTATCATGTAACACAGCAGCTGTGTCCCTTCATTTTAAGTTGCCAATTATTCCCCATGTAATAACCCTAAAAAGTACTTCAGAAAATTGCCCCCAAGGTTCCCTTTCATGCTGTAGTTGAGCAGTTTGAAGCAGGCAAGCACAGCTCAGCACATCTCCAGGGTGTTCTGAAGCCGAGCCATGTTTTAATAAAGATTGACACTTTCAAACAGTGCAGGGAAGTTAATGCCCAACTCCTATTGCATTTCAATTGAAGTTGGATACTAACTTTTCTTTGTGCTCCTATGGAAATTCTAGCCTAATTAAAGATACAGCAGAGTTCATGTAAGAGGAGGATCTTTGAACAGTCAATGAGGAGTGAAGGATGTGATTTTTAAACCTCCTAAATGATTTATCCCTCAAATCTTCAGAGAAGTTGTGTTCAGCATAGTGTTTCATACACAACTTAGCCGGAGGAGAGGAAGAAATGGGCCTGTAATAGGAAGATAACTTAAATTTTAGCTGCAGAGGAATTATGCATTCCCCATAATGAATTCAGATTGTGTGGTACCCTTTTGTTTAGTCTGAACGCAGCTTAGGGTTTTTTTGTTGGCTTCTTGATTCTTTAGCTACAGGAAAGGGGAGAATAATAAAACAAATACATTAGAGTAATCCTCTTTGATTCAAGCCATGTTCCACCATTACAGCTTTTAACTTTAGAATAGACAACTACAAAGAACATCAAAAGGAGCGTAAGAATAGCAAGAACAATTTTGAATTTTACCTCAGTTTGTTAAACTCTTACTGCTTTCCACCGCTCCCCCAGGCACCTTGGTGGACATGATGAATGCTATTGTGGGCATTGACTGGCAGGGTCAGTCTTGTCGTTTCTTCAGCTTTGCCCTCATCCATCCTTTGTTCAGCAACAGTCCAAGCAAGGTATGCATCCTTGCAAAGTATTTTCACGTCATAGAATCTTACAACTTTAACTCTGTAGATGTCCTGACTTCAAACATACCTTATGTGTTAGGAGTGGAAGCTGGTCTGTTTTTTCTACTCCATTGCTTCTGCCAACAGCTTCTTGTCCATCGATGTTCTTTCCACCTGGAATAACTCCCTCTGGTTTATAGTCCCTGCTATCCAATTAGGTGATGTTGAGTTGGTCTTACTCTTCTTTCCTCCTTCTGTCTCAGTTGCTAGTGTTGCTACATAAAGTTTGTATTACAAAATGATAGGTTTTCTAAAGCTCTTCAAACAGGTGACCATCTGCTGGCTAGTTCTGAATTTGCAACCTGGCTTTCTCTAAAAGCAATGTTTTGTAGTAGGATTTTCTGTCACTGCAGCAGTGCTGTGGGTCCGTGCAGCCTGGGCAGAGGGATGCAGTGGGGCTGCAAATGTGCAGGAGGAGCAAAGGATCAACTTTGGTAGGAATGGACTTTGTTTACTCAGTAAAATTTAGTGGGGTGTGTTAGACTTTGACAGCACATTTCTGTGGAGGACAATGTGATTGCACACTGAATGTGGGTAATGTCTGATGTTTGCTGCTCTTGTATGCTTTGCTCTATCTACCTCCCTTCTTCCCTGCTCCTTCCCACTGAGTTAACTCCTGCTTTCTTGCAAGGGGCCTCAAAGGCTGGAAAGCATTACAGTCTGCATGCAAAGTGCACATTTAAGCTGTCTATTAGATATTTTGGCATATTCTTCTCTCTCTGCTCCAGAATTTGGTGGACCTGCAAAAGTACATGTCTGTGTTTTGTAATAGCCTCTTTGCTTTCTGCCTGTACCCCAGTTACACAGATGATATGAAGGTGTTCCGTGGAAGTGCGTCTCAACTGGAAAACAGTATTGTTAAAAGTAACAGTATGTTAACCCACATATTTCTAAGCGTAAGCCACCTCAGAAATAAGCATTCTCCTCCTCTGAGGGAGCTGATAGCACATTAGACAGGAGGAAAGTCAAAAGCCTGCTCAGAGAAGACCATATATTTGATGCCAAAAAATTAGTAAGAAAGCTGAGAGCAGGTTCCCTGTCCCAGGCTGTTAATGACAAGACTATATTCATAATTGGACTGTGGGTGGGCTTATGCTGCATAATGGAGCTGAACTTCTGCCTTATGTACGGAAGTGATCCAGCAATAGCAGGTTGGATTTGGAAAATGCTCTTTGCTTCTCTGGCACTCATTCTTTAGGATTGATTGTTTTACCATAGAGTGCTAAAGAGGAACAATTAGAAAGAAAAGTAAGTACACATGTAAAGTGGTCAACACGAGAAGACTGAGAAGGCTGTCTGCATTTTGGCAATGTCTATCTTTACTAGGTCTTACAAAGGTGCTACAGGACTGGAGTGAGAGGCTGGAATTCAGTGGATTTTTGTGTGGCTGGTGTTAGAGCAAGAGAGGGTGTTTTGCTGGGAGTTGAGAATGTACAGGGCAACTTTATTCTCCCTTGGTTTTTCTGGTTACTTTCTGGTCTGAATGAGTAGAGAGACAGCCCAACAAACAAAGCTTGCATCTGAGGGATGATTTATTTCTCCTGAAACAGCAATGGAGAGGTAATAGAGGGAAATTCCCCTGGAATACTCCTGCAAAGTCTGTGCTTGCAGGACAATTAGAGCCCCTAGATTTATTTCAGCTGACCTGGCAGGTATGGTTGTTGTCATGGCACACCATCAAAGCTAGGTGGCTTAGCAGCACTGTGAAGTTGCATCAGTTCATGTTTCATGGATGGTGTCTAAGTGTCTTGCATGGGCAGCCATCAAAGTCAAGGTAGTTACATTCAGTGTTGTAACCTCAGCCTTCTTTAGTGTATCATGTCATTTCATAAGCCAGGGAGGTACGGCTGCAGTGAAATGGTGTGGATCCTTCCTCTGCTGGGATTCTGGATGATGATCAGGAAGGGCAGGCAACCAGCTCTGGAACTGCAGTCCTGCCAAGGCAGCCAACAGGAAGTTGTAAAAACTCAGAAATGACTGTATCTTCATTCCTGTTACAATCACAGCAGTTAAATTAATTCCCTTTAGCTGCGTTAGCATGCTGCAGTTTTCAGCATGAGCTCTCAGCATGTTTGTAATGGCAAAGATTGATGTATCATCACCTCATGAGTCAATGTATTTGCATTAGCCTGTGGATTTTCCTGATTTTCTTTACGGAAGTGGTGAAGAGCACTATATTGCCTCTCTTGGTAACTCTTAAGAGCTCCTCCATGGTGTACCTCTGAAAAAGAGGCACTTTTAAGTCCTGCTTCTGAGTGACTCTGCAGCAGGTAGAGAGAAGCTTCTGTTCCTGCTGTCTGTTGTCTTTCTGCTATTGGTTCTAAGATGCTCTGCTATTTTCTCCATTTCTGCCTCTCCAGTTGTGGGCCTTCAGGAAACAGAGGGCAGGCCAAGATGTGGGCCAGGGGAATCTTGCATGCAAAAGCTCAGGCTTTATTCCTCTGTCTCAGCAAAAGCAGAATATTGTCCCTTGCAATACAGAACTTCCCTGTGGCTGTTGGAAGCATGCTGGCCTTGAAATGATAGCTAGCTCATTTCCAAAAGGGAGAGAGGCCAGTGGCTGTGTTCATAAATGTCACAAAAACAAGCCACAGGATGTGTTTTTATTCTCTCCTGTCATCCTGGTCTTTGCATACAGTTTCAAGGCACTGAAAAATCCAGGCGCTCCCTTAGCTTCCTGGGGAGATTTTTGTAATTTCTGCATGTCCATAGGTGGCTCCAGGGGCTTGCCTTGTATTTTGGCTTCCAGAACAAAGCCAGATTTATTCCCAACCTCTTCATCTTCCCCCACAGTGTTTATCCCACTGCACAATGACCAGATGCTGTGACTGAATCCTAGGCTGCCACTCAGCTAAGAATTAAATAATGAAGGAGATAGTTTCGAGTAAAACCTTGGGAAAAAGGTTGTGCAGTTTATTTACCACTCTCTACTTGTTGTGAAGGTACAGGTGTCTCTGGATAGGGGCTACCTTTCTAAATTGTATCTTCATTTGTAAAAGCTATCAGAGAAGGTTAATGAGGATCTCTGTTCTCCACCTAAGCTCCATTGCTTGCTTTCTGCATGTTGGACACTCCCCTTCAGTAGGGATTTAAATTACCGTGGTGGTAGGAAGAGGTTTTTATTTTTCAGGCTCTGTAGCTGAGTTTTAGAGGCAAAACTGGTCATACTGGAAGGTCGAAAGAATTTTCTTCCTTCTGGTTCCCAACAAAGAATTTTTCAGTGGCAATTTAAATATATATCCTTCCAGTTTCTGAAACAAGGTCAGTGACAGACTTCATGTGTGTTTTATAAGGTACTTGGGTTCATGTTTCCCCATCATCTAGAACACCCTAAACTCTCAGCAGAATCTGCAGAATCTCCAGCATGCAACTGATACTGCTTAAATGGTATGACATAACAGTGCCTTTTCAGTGATGGCTTGACATCAAACGGCAGCATTCTCTATTCGTGCATCTTCAGCTGTGGCTTTTCCTCCTGTTCCTCTTCTCCTTCTCTCTGATATTGTTTGTTGTTGTCCACAGAAAGAAAATGTGAGCCAAATAACGTCAAACTTGTGATATCATGATGAGTAAGAAATGAAGCAAACCAAAGTTGCCAGTTCCGTAGTATTGCTTTTAATGGATTTGTGGTGCTTGTCTGCTGTGGAATTCTTGTGTATAAATCAACCATGTGAAAAGCATTAAATATGCTGAAAATACAGCACAGGAGTTCAGATCATATAAATAGATACAGCAAGAATGTTGCATCTTGCCAAGGACATTTTCAAACAATGAATGTGTCTTGCATTAAATGAATTTGTTCCCTTTGTGAAGTCTAGATGTTGCTGTCACAGAAACTACCATGACAGCTGACACTCACAGCTCTCCTGCTGGTGACTTGGGTGGGAGCCCAAGGGTCAAAAGGACGATGGAGATCACCTCGTGCACTCTAAGGGGGGGTGCTTCTGGGATTAGGCAGAGTTTCAGCAACTAGTGTGAGGGGAACCAGAGCTACTGAGGGTATCAGTCTCAAGGAATCTCTTGGCACCACTTGTTAATGCTAAGGGACATTTTTAAAGAAAGTTCATCTCTCTCAAAAGAGCCCAGCTAAAAGGAGGAGATGGTAAGACCTGCCTATTTCTGCCTGCTTAAAATATGGCATAGTGTGCATCTGACTCGGCGAGAGGCTTTGGCTCCTCAGCAGTGCTTGGCAGCGTTGGTGACAGCACCCCTTTGTCGGGGGCCTTTGGTTCCTCTGTTGCAGGTTCTCTGAGCCAGACCCCAGCCACACACTGGAGGAGCGAGTGGTGCACTGGTACTTCAGCCAGTTGGACAACAACAGCAGCAATGACATCAACAAGCGGGAGCTGAAGCCTTTCAAGCGTTACGTGAAGAAGAAAGCCAAGCCCAAGAAATGTGCCCGACGTTTCACTGACTACTGTGACCTCAACAAGGACAAGTCAATCTCGCTTCAGGAGCTGAAGGGGTGCTTGGGAGTCAGCAAGGAAGGAGGTGAGTGCCTTTCCTTCCCCATTGCATGAGAATAAAAGGCTTTATGTGGAGTTAACAGCAAACTCAGGAGTCTCTTCTCTCCCAGGTGATTCCAAAGTGCCACAGTTTGTGTGAGAAGAAGAGGGGGATTAATACCCTGCTATGCAAATGTAGTTATTAGTGTTATGGCTTTGACTTACATCCTTTATCACAAACCTTTGTGCTAAGCGCTACGCAGAAGCAGGGCAAAAAGATGAGCTTTGCCCAGGACTCTGCTGATACTGTAGAAATCCTTGGAAACGGTGGTTCAGATCAGGTCCCTTCTGAGTAACACACTGCTAACAATATTCTGTTGTCTCAGCCATGTAGGTTGGATGATGTGTGAGCCAGCACAGGCCCAGTCCTTCTCCAGAGACCCTGTTGACTAACAGAAATAATATTTATTTTCATTGCTAAATCCAGCATGCAGGAAAGTAGATGATGCAGAGAGAACAACTCAGAAGGTGCAGTTGCCCTTTTTCAGAGTTAAATTGCACTTTAAGATTGGGGGAGAAATGGGGCATATGAATAACACACTTTCCTTTCTGTTTAATGCCTGAGCAACAACTTACCCTCCTCCTGTTTCTTCCTCTTTCATCTTCACCTCATCTTCTGTGGTGATGGACCTGGACCAAGTTGATATTTTTGGAAATGTTATGAATCGAAACTGTTCAACCCAAATTCAATAATTATCAGTCATTCTTAACTGTGGGCAGATTTGCTTGGCAGGAGAAAGCAAACAGGGAGATTCCAGGGGACTAATTTCCTGTGCAGGTGTCTTGGCTGTGCATGCAGCTCTTGTTAGAACTGTTGTGCCAGTTGGGAAGGGTGGGCCGCTTGCTTTCTCCAAGCTTAACCTCTCCTTAGTTCTTTCCTCAGGTTTAGCACGAGTCAGTGCATTTGGGTGTTGGGAAGTTGCCTCTTCTGGGTGCTTTGCAAACATCTTAGTTATCATAATAAGCCTGTTGCATTACTCGTCAGCTGTGAGAAGTATTCAGTTTCCCTAGTTCAGTGGAAGTTTTTTTCTTGGTCGTCAGTACCTTACTGAGGAATGACATACCAAAATAGCAACCCCATTCCTTAATTTTATTACCTTCCCAATAAGATGAATATGCCAAATGAGTTTTATTGCTATTTGGCCTGGAATAAGACTCTGGAATTTGCTGCCTTGGCCAACCGACTGTTCAAAATTTAGTTTATGGAAGGGGGAGGGAGGAGAGAAGGAAGAAAATGCGCATCTTTGAGCCACGTGAAGGGGAAATAAAGCAGCAAGACACTGTTACGAGTGCCTGATTGCCCAACTATTTGCTGAGAACACAGCCTTGACCTTTCTTGGTTTCTTCCATTGTATGAGGACAGGATTGTGTGCAAAAAGGGGCTCTGACCTTGTTTTATCATACAGCTCCACGTAGTTAACAGGCCTGATAGGCCTTGAGGATCAAAGATAAATGGGTAACTTCTGTGGAAGGAGGACCACGGGGGGCTAAAGGATGGTGAGGGCTAAAGAGCAGTAGAAGGGGCAGTGTAGAGAGCAGGTACTAACAGCAGGAAAGAACTGAGGGAGAGTATTCTAGAGGTGCAGTAAGCAAGTTTGCGATGGATCTTTTCTAAGAAGTCATGAATTTGTGAGGTGGTAATGACATGTTTGCTCTGCTTCCTATTCGCAAGAATTTCTAATTAAAGAAATAACTGGTAGCTTACCCCTTCTCCAGCTTTCCCTTATCCTGATCATGGGTGCATGCGGTCAATCAACTAGTTCATGTATTTGCTCTCAGTTTCTTTCTCTGTACCGTGGCCTCCAAACATCTGCTGGGGCTGAGGTCACTGTAGGTCCAAGCCAAGAGCTGGTTGGGAACCTTTTTGATGACGTACTTTCAGTTGTAAACTGCCAGTCAGATGAAACCAAAACTTTTCGTGGAAATGTTTCTGTTTCAACAAAAGCTTTGTTGGAAAGGTTTTTCTGGTCTGTATTGGATGAGGAATGATTAGAGGGAGGCAAGGAAAGTCATCATTTCCCCTTGATATACTTCATTACAAATGAACTTACCTCAGATGTTCCAAATCATGGTTGGGTATCCAGCAGCCTTAGGACTAAAATGAAGTGGGTCATCGTTCCAGGTGAGTGTGCCTCTTGCTAAGCAAACTGAGCACTTGTAACAATGATGAAGAAGAAAACTTAATACAAATTTTGTAGAGTTTGGGATGCTGAGGAAAACAAATGTTAAGGCTTCTGCATTTTTGTCAGTGTTTTGCTTTTGGGTTTTTTTTTTCATGTGTCCAGTTCCATTCAAATGTGGAAATAGTGTTGCTTGAAGAAAGCACAGGGCATAGGATAAATCAGTGCTGTTACAAGCCTCTTGGGTGCTAGATAGTCTAAATAAATAAGATTTATGTGTGAGGGATTCAGCTGGGATATTCATAAGGACAAACCTGAATCTGAGCTCTTTCCAGCTTAGGATCAAATCTGTCCCAGATGCATAGCTCCGTCTGTCTTCCCCTCCTCAGTAGGTTCTTGATGCCTGTGGTAACTAATATGTGGGAGCTGCCAGCTGGGGGGGTTCAGTGAGGAAAATACCTGTCCAGTCAGCTGGCAACCCCTCATCTTTTTCCATCCTTATGATGACCCAGAAAGTTTCTGGGAAATCTGCTAGGTCTGGGGGCCACTTTGCACAGCTCTTGCCCCTCTGCTTAAACCAGGTGTGTTTCTATCAGGGGCAACTCGGATGGAAAAACGCCATTCCTGGATCTCAGAATGGAGTAGCCACATAGAGCCAGCCTTTGAGGGTTTGCAGAAGCCTGTAAATGGTTTCTTAAACTGAGGCAGAACAGGCAGAGAGGGCTTGTAGCTCAGAGTATGCCAGAAACAGTCTTTGCCATCATTTGATCTAGGATTGTCTATTTGAGGAATTGTGGAAGGAAAACAGACTGATTTACAGCCTGTTAAAAGTTAGCATTCATCAGTGCAGTCTGCACAGCCTGAGTTAAGGGGGGGGACCATCTGTGATCAAAGAACAAATTTAGCTCTATGCATTAGTCAAAAGGCAGGGTCCTTGAGAGGAGATAGACATGTGCTGTAAAGCTTTGCTGGAAAGTTACCGGACCCAAGATTAATTAGAGTCCAGTGATCTTGAGGAGGAGGACTGTCAATCTGAGCAAGGCTTATACTAGTTGTGCTGACTGCAAAATGCTGGAGTTGAGTTTTACCTCTATATTCTTCCAAATTCAGAGGACAAAGTCAGCATTTTGTGCATGTCCAAAGAGGAGCTAAAGGATTAAGCAGCAAAGAAATGTCCCTCCGCCAGCTGATGGGAAGTTTCCTTCTGCCAGTTCAGATCCCGTGATTGCTTTGCCATCCAAGAGCTTGTCAGATGTCCGACCTCCCCGCAGTCAGCAGGGACACCCCCAACTAGACCAGGTTGCCCAGGGCCTCATTGAGCCTCACCTTGAATATCTCCAGGGAAGGGGCCTCAACCACCTCCCTGGGCAACCTGTTCCAGTGCTCCACCACCCTCACAGTGAAGAACTTGGTCCTAATCTCCAACCTAAATCTGCTCCCCTCCAACTTAAAGCCATTGCCCCTCATCCTGTCACTGCAGGTCTTTGTAAACAGGTTCTCCCCAGCCTTCCTGTAGGCTCCCTTCAGGTACTGGAAGGTGCTATTAGGTCTCCCCAGAGCCTCCTCTTCTCCAGGCTGAACAACCCCAGCTCCCTCAGCCTGTCCTCGTAGCAGAGGTGCTCCATCCCCCTGATCATCCTTGTGGCCCTCCTCTGGACCTGCTCCATCAGGTCCATGTCTTTCCTACATTGAGGGCTCCAGACCTGCACACAGTATTCCAGGTGAGGTCTCACCAGAGCAGAGCAAAGCAGAAGAATCACCTCTCTTCCATGGTCACCATCTGCCATATTCCTTCTTATCTTTCACGCCAGTTTTATGCCGGGTGCAGGATTGTTTTGGCAGGGTTTTGCCTTCTGTAGGTCTGTGTGGGTGGCCTCTGTATCGAAGGCAGCTGGCTGAAGCTGATGCTCTCTGCATTTGGAGTGACAGGTGATGTGCTTTGGGGACGTTTCCCAGCATGGATGGATGAGGCAAACCCAAACCCAGGGAGAGCACAGAGCCCTACCAAGCTGCCCGAAAGTTTTCTTTAATTAAGCAAACCTCCCATTTCAGGGATGCTCCCTGCCTTTTCTGTCAACTTACCTGGACCTCCACGCCTCCTCTCGAAGGCAAACAGGGCTCGTTGCGGGCAGAGCTGCACTGGGTGCAAAAAGGGGGGTTTTGGGGGCGCTTCTCCCTTGCCCGCGCCGTGCGCGGCTCAGCAGCGCCCTCCAGGGGCCGGCCCCGGCAGCGTCCCGGCCCCGCCGCGGCCCCGGGCTCCGGCTGCCAGCCCCCGGGAGGGTCCCAATTAGCCCTGGAGGAATCTGCCTCTTGGCAAGGAGCTCTGCTTTGTGTACACGGGCGCAGGAGTAAGTGATGGACGACGGCCCCTCTCGTCTCGCCGGAGTGATAGGAGGCCAGCGTTCAGGGCGGGGGGGCCTTGAAATAACTCATCACGTTCATACAGTTTCTCTTATTAACGATCTCTGAAGGGTTCTGCTTTCTGACCCGTTTCAAACTCAGCCGCCACCGCCGCCTCTCTTTCCGTCTCTCTTTTCCTTCCCAGCGGTTCTGCTCCTGTCCTGCAGCCCAGCCTCCCCACCCGGGGCTTCCCTGTCTCACCCCTGCCCGAGGAGCTTCTGCTCCTCTTGGTCTTGCCAGGTCAGATGCCTGCACAAATCAAAGATAAGTGTCTTAGGCTGGGCCGGAGCAGAGGGTGGCCAGAGGCTCACTGCTTCTGGCAGGGAGCAGGAGTTCCCCTTCCCAGCTCACCTGAGATCAGACCAAGCAGCTGGCAGGAAACGTAACGTGCTTTCGAGAGCTCCTCTAATCCCTGAACTGTCTGTGCCCAGCACGTGATAGGAACAGGTTAATTGTTGAGGTGAGAGCCCTTGTCATGAGCTCCATCTGGTGTAGGGTGTGTGTGCCTGTATCTCATGGAGTCATAGAATCATCTGGGTTGGAAGGGACCTTCAATATCATTGAGTCCACCCAGCAACCTAACACTGCCCAAACCACTACCTATCCCTGTCCCTCAGCACCACGTCTACCCATCTTTCAAATACCTCCAGGGATGGTGATTCAACCACTTCCCTGGGTGGTCGCTCCCTCTCTGCTTACAGTCAGGCTCCGCTCGTGATGCAGTCACAGCTCTGTGGTCTGTCCCTGCCCTTCTGCCAGGTATGAGTTCAGGTCTTTGCATTTTAGGCACTGGTTTGATTGTTTGGTCCAAGCTAAAGATCTAGTGAACTTGGGCTATCTGTATTGCCTACACCTTCACTTTTCTGGCTGTGCCCTGTCTATATGATGTTATTTTGCTTGCTCTTAGCAAAAACTGCTTTGGGAAACTTCATGACACTACTTGCATCCTTCCTTTCTTCTTCTTCCTCCTTCCACAGTTAAGTTTAACCTTGTAATTGTTGCTTCTTACCCTCTGGATTTCATGACGTTCAGATACTACACCACCAGGTATTTAACATCTCTCATCTCTAGCACATTAATCTGACTCTTGCATGTGAATCTTAAGGAGTGCTGGCAGGACTTGCTGCGTGCACACTCAGAGGAGCTCCTTTCAACCTGCTCTCTGGCAGCAGACAGTGGGGAGGCTCCTTTGTCATGCCACGGCATTTATTGCCTTTAACATGGTTCTTGGATTTTACAGGTAGCCTGAGCAGTTTCCCCAGTGGAAAAAGACAAGGCCTTAACCCTTTCAGTGAGTATCTTGTCAAAATGTTTCATTTTTTCCTGTGATAACCCTGTCCCCCAAAATTCATTCTTTCTTGCTCTCCTCTGTACACAAATATCTACATAGAAACAGATGAAAAACGAAGCTGTTCATAAATGGTGTGAATATAACAACTGCAGCTTCACTGCATCATCTCGAGGTCCAGCACTGTGTCTTCAGCTGGGGCAGACAATACATTGCTAAGAAATTAGAATAGGATACAGCAGTTATGGGATGAACACTCTCCTACCCTATTCTCCCTGCTTCTGGCAAACAATGATTTAGGTGATTTGTTGTGTTTACATTACATTACTTCATGGACAGCTTCCCATGAAGACTCTTCTCTGTCCTGGTGAAGGTCTGCTCTCCTCTGTATTTTGTGGCAGTGAATCACACCCTTTCATCAGGCAAAAAAACCCAACTTCAATTTGCTTTGCTTTTAGTCCTGCTGCCTCGCAGTGTCATTGGATGCTTCTCATTTTGGATTGTGAGAAACAGTGAGCAGTTCTCTCCTGCCTGTCTTTCTTCCATCACTTGTTCAATAGCTCTCCGATATATGTCCAGTTAGACTCCTTTCTGTATTGAGAAGACTTAGGCTATGTGTTTGCTTAATGACAGGAGCCCTCCCATACCTCTTGCTATCCTCCTTACCTTTCTGGGCACCTTATCTGGGCCTCAGAAGATGGGCTGAACAGAGAACTGAAGGTAAAGATCAGCTAAGCCTTACACATTGATGTAGTGATGTTTCCTGGTGTATCTTCAGTTCTGAGCACGTATTTGATTTTTGTCTGCTGCTAAAAGCTGAGTGGAAGCATTAAAATAAAATGTATACTGTGGCTTCAACCTCTTTCCTAGTGGCTCAGCGTGGCTGGTGTAGGGCAGGTTGTCCCCAGTCACTGTGTTGCATGTGTGACATTGAAGTCAATCTGCTGTTTTTACGAGCTGGTTGTTGAGCACTGCGAGCGCCTTTTGCAGAGCTGGGTAGTCAGTTTCAAATAGGAGTATTTGGAATAACTTTGTGTTTTACAATATTCCCCCCCTGTGGCAGGGCATGTCAATCAGTGCTGAGCCCAGTGAGGCCTGTGGGATAACCTTTCTGCTTTCCGAAAACCAGATCCCTACTTCTGCCTTCTCTTCAGCATGTTTTCACCTGTAATTAACCCACAGAGCTCTCGCTCTGATCCTGTAAGAGCCTTGATTCTTTCAAGAGCCTTTGATGAGGGGCTTAACAAAAGCTTTGTGAAGAAACAAGTGTGTGTGCATCCATGTGAGCTGCTAAGCAGCACCCTTGTGCCATCCACCAGGATGCCCACAGCCCTGGCAGCTGGAAGAGCAGAGCGAGAGATGTGGGGCCAGTTGTTTGCCCAGACTGCATGCCTGTTTCCACGGAGGAGGAGGAGGAGGAGGAGGGAGAGGAAAGTGGTGGTTTATGTTTAAAAATGCGTCAGTCCCCAGGGCTCCGTGTGACTCATTCAATGCTTTTTTCAGCAAGGCTGTCTTATTAGCCCCTGGTTGTTTTCAGCCTCACAGCTTACTCTGGGATCTCAGCCTTCTGGGGACATGGCTGCTGCAGAGGCCGTACTGTATCTTTGTCTGTCAGGTGGCCTTTTGGTTTTAATTTGCCATTTTTTTCCTCACTTTTGCCTGCTTCTGTTTCGTGTTTTCTCCTTCCTTGCCCACCCCACCCTTTCAGTAGGTCGCCTGGTGTAGCAGCAGAAGACAGGAAGGGAAGGCAGGAGCCGACCCAAAGGAAAGAAAGATCCAGCGACAGACGGACAGACACCTTGCTGCCTGTGAGCATGCATGCAGCATCAGCAACATCCAACGTAGCAGAAGTGGCACCCAGAACATTTGCACTTTTTAATAATTGGTTTGGGTTTGGGTTTGTTTTTAATTGCTTTTCAATGCCATTATCTAATACTTTAGAGAGTGGGAGGAAGCAGGATCATGACTTTTTAAAATTGGAACAGCTACTGATGACGTAAAATTGAGTTCACTGGGACTCAAAGAAAGAGAATTTTATATACTGTATATAAATATATATGTAAATTGTACAGTTGTCTTGTACAGGGGTTGGAGTCACTGTTCTGTTCCTCCCTTTGCTTTTGAAGGCTGTTAGGGCTAGAGGGACACTTTGCATTTAATGGATTACAGTAATGTGTTCATTTCTGCCACCAAACCATCATTGGGTTGCAAACCTTAACATGGCCATGCACGAAGGAGCAAGTATATCAGCAGTTGTGCTTTGAGGTGTGCACACAGTGCCCCAGGCACCAAATGCTTCTTGGGAGCATCTGAACCCCTACTTTTCTTACTGTAAAGCCCTGTGCAACTCCCAGGCAGTTGGGCTGTTGAGAGAGCACAGATTTTGCCTAAGTATTGGTGCACTGCAAAGCTGCTTGAAGTAGGGATAGAAAAGGGTTTTATTGAGGACACACAAAAATAGTTTCTGCACCTGTTGCAAGTTGGGCAGAAATGAATTGCAAATGCATTAGTACCCAGGGCCAGAAGACGTGTTTGGCAAAGATGTGCCATCTTGGGAATCGAACGTTGTAGGAAGGACGTGGGAGCTGCAGGCCGAGTAGAGTTGGTGGAGTGAAGTCACACATCTTCCTCTCTCACAAAGCGTTCATCTGTATGTTGTACAACAATAAAAATATGGAGCAGCCTGCTAAAAGCAGCATCAGCCTGCCTGTTGCTTTGCTGAAGAGCAAAGAACATATTTGTCAGTGTAGAAAGACACAGTTGTGCTGCTGGTTCCCAGGAGCCTGGTTTACTCGTGTTTCAGCTCTGCAGCTTGGGCCACGCTGGTAAAGGAGTGTCTGCAGTGACTGTTCTTGTCTTTGGTGGTTGTGAATCCCAGGCTTCTCTCCTGCCTGGTGGTGTGCCTGCCCAGCTTAGAGTGTCACTGCACCCCATCCGCTGTAATCACTGCCTCCTGTGTTGTCACATCCAGTAACAGTTGAAGGCTTGGACTGAGGACCACAGTCTCTTGGGGCCACGGGGGCTGTTTCAACCACCAGCAGTTTTTTCCAGAGTTGTTTCTTACTTAACCTCAGATCCAGTGGTAGAGTCAGGGGTAGGGCAGGGACACCCATATTGGCAATCCTAGGTTTGGGCAGAGTGTGGTGGGACACGCGGTGTTTTGCTTTGTGCATCTCCAACCGCTGGCAGCACTTGCCCATTGATAGGAAATGTTCTGAGCAGCCTCCCACTTCAGACCTGGTGATCTTCATGCCACCCCTTCTGACTAAGAACCTGAAGTTGGAGATGATGACGTGCCATGCTAACATGAGATCACACCAACAATTACTTGTAACACTCGCATTGCTGTAGAGACTGGGCTTGTGCCCTGAGGCTTTGTCGCTTTGGTAGAAGATCTTGAGATAATCACATCGAAGCAGGAGTGTCCTTATGCAGTAAGTTAGTGCCTTGTTGCCAAAATGGAAAGTTAAAACAACCCCACAATCTTTCTATAAAAATCTTTTTAATAGTAATAATAACAACTCTTCCTCTGGGAAGTAGATTGGAGCTTGATTAAAGCATTTGACATGGTTAAAACCACATCTGGTAGTCTCTGAAATATACATCACACCACCGTAATGTAAAGAACTCTCTTTAACAAGAGCAGATCCTGCTGCTGCTGGATCTTCATGGTTCCTCACATACAATGTATGTGCTTTACTGGCCTGTAAGCTCCCATCTTCTTGATTGAATCTTCTCTGTTTAAATGCCCAGGACACATCTTTTGTGTGTTGAGATGATTTGGTTTGGTGTATAGTTAGAAGTGTCCCTGTCACTCATTAATCCTTTTGTAGGAGTAAAGAATTCAACTGTATAAAAAAAAAAAAACCTCTCCTTTTTTAATATGCTAGTTTTAGGAATGTAAAAGCTCTGGCTGCTGGGTTGATGGTTGTTTTGCTTTTTTTTTTTTTTTTAATGTATAGTTGCATCCAGCAAAAGCAGCCACTTGGATGCCTATTGGAGTTCTGTCAGCCAGCCACTGGGGCCAGGCAATGCCCCACAAGGTTTTTGGGGGGAGTGCAGAGCTGCTGAAAAAGTTACTACATCTTTTTTTTCCTCATCCTTGTGTCCTTCCTCTCTAAAAGGCCTGCATTCACTTGTAGTTTGCAGTAAAAATTGGGTCAGTTCTTCAAGGAAGCTGAGCGAGGTGGCTGTTGATGTTGGCTTTGGTGTTGGTGGGTGTTCGTGTTGCTGTGCTGGAACTGACATTATGGGTGGCTTGGGACCCAAGCGTTATATTGCTTCCCCCTTTACTTTCCCGAGAGAAGTCCAAGTCCCAGCATGGTGGCTTGCTGGCCTCTGAGCAGCTTTTGGCAACACTTGTACATTGGCCTGCAAGACTCGGCCAGCGTGATTGTGCGATGTCTGGGCAGGGGTTGGGTTACTTGTTCTGGGTTTGTGTGTTGGGAGCTCATGCAGACAGCACTGGTCCCTATTCATATAATGTATGGAACTCATCCTATGAGTTGTCCAAACAGTCTGTACTCATCAGAAGAGAGCAGCGCCTCAGCTTCCCTCTTCTCTCATTGCTTTGACTGCCAGTGCACCTGGCTGCCAGGCTAAACATGTCCTTATCTGGTGGTGGTAAGCATGTTCTGCTCTGCCTTGCGTCAGTAGCGTCCTACTGAAGCTGGGGCATTGGGGGTGTCAGCATTGTGCCTGGAAGCAGACCCTGGCCATGTCTCTCCTCATCCTTCAAGTCCTCCTGGGCCTCTCCAGCTCTACTTTGAATGACAGCTGGAAACAGCTGGGACAGAGAAGAGAACCAGGGCTCCACAGTGCAAGTCATCTGCTCTTCCTGCCAGAAGCTAAAGTCTTTCCTTTTTTGCTGATCCTCTAAGGACGTAGTGTGTTGGAGGGAACTGGATTATGGTGGGATTCATCCATGTGGAAGGCACCACATTCCATGGCCTGAGTTTATATTGAACTTACCCTGCCCCAGCACATTTCTGCCCGTGGCATTGTTTGTTAGACTGAAAGGCATCTGTTTGATTTTGATTTTTGTAATAAAATAGATAACTTTTGCTCCAGTGTCATGTGGTGATTTCTTGTTGAATCGTGATTTCCAGAACTCATCTCTTTCACATAATGTTCTGTTACCTACGCAGTGTCATAGGAGAGGGAAGGGGACTTCCCTGCTCCCAGTCATGTGGCAGTCTTTGGTTGAAATCTGAGGTCCTTGGATGTTTCTCTGCGGTGTGTAAGCTTCCAGGTTGAACTGAACATACTCTGGAGTGCTTCTCCGAGGTTTGATGGCAGCTGCCTGCATCTGCCTTGGGCTGCTGAAGGCTGTGAAGCTTCAGCAGGAGAGTGGAGGTGACCACAGAAGGTGGGACCCACAGGTAAGTGGGATCTCGCTGCACAATCTCCCTAAAGCAGGGATAGAAGACAGGCACTGCATCTCACATCTCCTCCTACCCACTGACCTTGGGGGCCTTCATATTCTACTTTTGCAGGTCAGGCCTCATAATATGGGAGCCTGAAATGCTGTCTGGTAGGTGTTTTCTGAAACCTTTTAATCCTCGGAGGTGACAAGTAGCAAGCTATGCTGGGGAGCTGCTGCTCTTGTGAAAAATACTATTTCCTAGGCAACAGAGAGGTGGTGGAGGCTGCAGCACCAGGTCCATGATAGAGGAGGCCACACACTACTCCTATCAAGAAGCTATGACCAGTTTTCTATTCACTATCTATGTCATTTTACTTGATCACGTGTAAATCTCTTGAATAAGGAGCCAACGCATTTATTGCACGTCAGATCGCACAAGTCTTATGAGGAGAGGCTGAGGGAGCTGGGGTTATTCAGCCTGGAGAAGAGGAGGCTGAGGGGAGACCTTATTGCTCTCTACAACTACCTGAAAGGAGGGTGTAGAGAGATGGGGGTCGGTCTCTTCTCTCAAGTCACAGGCGACAGGACAAGAGGAAATGGCCTCAAGTTGCGCCAGGGGAGGTTCAGGCTGGATATTAGGAAAAATTTTTTCACTGAAAGGGTTTTCAGACGTTGGAACAGGATGCCCAGGGAGGTGGTTGAGGCACCATCCCTGGAGGTGTTCAAAAGACAGGTTGATGTAGTGCTGGGAGGTATGGTTTAGTGATGGTGATGCTTCTCGTTTGTTGTGTGGGTGTCTATTTTTGTCAGGTTGACGGTTGGACAAGATGATCTTTAAGGTCCCTTCCAACCTAGAAGATTCTGTGATTTTGTAGTTGCAGTCCCAAAGGGAGGGTTCCTGCTTGTGTAGTGTTCAGGTGCTGCCTTGTTTGTAGATGGGCAGAGAGGGGTCTGCTTAGAGTCTTGGCTTGAGATGCAAAGGAGACAGTGGATTTGCCAAGAATACACTGGGAAACCAAGCTAACTTCCTTGTTTTACCAAGGTAACAGGTCGTGGGGCAAAGGGGGGAGCAGTAGTTGTCATCTCTGGAGTTCTGCAAGACAATTAAAAATAGGAAAAGAATTTTTTTTTTAAAAAAGAGCAATTTATTGGCTGTGGTTCCTGTTTCTGGGGTCAACATAAGGTGCTCTGAGAGGCCTTCACCCTTCCCTGGCAGCGCAGTCGTTCTGTAAGAACTGCAAAGAGCTTGCTTCTGCCTCTGCTTCCAACGGTGAAGACCTTTCCTCCTCCCCTGCCCCTTTCCCCCTTATCTTTGACATAACTAGCAAAATCCACATGCGGAATGCCGACCTCCTGACATCTCAGCAGCCAGCTCCTGCAAGCCATTTCAGGCAAAATAACTTGGCAGCCCTCCAGAAGCTGGTATTAAATTGGAGAGCGGGATCTGCAGAAGCGGTGCTCTTCAGTTTGGAAAACACCTTGAAAGCAAAGTGGGTTAAAAAAATACCAACCCCCCTGCCCTCTGGCACTAGGATTATACCAGCATCGCCCCTGTATGGAGTGTGTGTGAGACAACCCGGGGCTGGCTGCTGTGATGAGAAAGGATGTTTTCTGCCATTCTGTATGGGAGGCCCTGCTTGCTGATTTTAATAGTTGTTTCTGTTTTTCAGTGGTGCCTGGCCTGGGCACTCCAGGAGGTGTCTAGCTTTTGTTCAGAAGGCACCACCAGCTCTGTGCTACTCATTCAGCACAAACGGATGGTCCCACTTACTCCAAAAGCACAAAATGAATGTTTATTTCATGTTATGTTGATCTTTCAGCATGCTGGGACTCAGCAGAGGGTCCTTTGTCTCTCAGCCCGGGTGGAGGAGCGGTGGCCTTGCTGTGTACGTAGCCAGTGGGCATCGCCTTGAGGACAAGGTGGTGGTGGTGGGTGGCTTTCTGCTCCCTGCCTCATCTGGACCCGCTCCCTGCTGCGGGTGCGTGTTGAGTGATGAGGGAGGCAGACGTCTGTGGCCCCCGGAGATGGAGGTTTCCACACCTTGCCTCCTCCCTGGTGCCAGCAGGAATGGCAGGCCCAGCTCTCCTGCATGCAATTCACAACCAGGTGGCCCTGCTGTGGGTGTCAGAGTGGCTCAGATCTGGCAGTCTGGAGAGCAGATGAATTCAGCTCACCTTGCTAAAGTAGGTAAATTCAGTCCCGCCACAAAACAGAACCTTAATGCGTTGCTTTTTGGTGTGTGAGTGAAGGACTCAGAACTGTGCCTGACCTTCACCTTCAGCTTGGTGAAATGAGTAGGGAAGTGATGGTGCCTCTGTACTGGGCACTGCTGAGGCCTCACCTCGAGTATTGTGTTTAGTTCTGGGCCACTCACTACAAGAAAGACATTAAAGTGCTGGAGCGTGTCCAGAGGAGAGCCACCAAGCTGGTGAGGGGTCTAGAGAACAAGTCCTATGAGAAGAGGCTAAACATGCCAGTTCCGGGCATGTTTAGTTTGGAGAAGAGGAGGCTGAGGGGAGACCTCATTGCCCTCTCCAGCTACCTGAAAGGAGGTTGTAGAGAGGTGGGTGTTGGCCTTTTCTCTCAAGGGAATAATGACAGGACCAGGGGAAATGGTCTGAAGTTACAGCAGGGGAGGTTTAGATTAGATATTAGGAAGAATTACTTGACTGAGGGGGTGCTCAGGCACTGGAACAGCCTGCCCAGGGAGGTGGTGGAGTCACCATCCCTGGAGGGATTTAAGAAACATGTAGATGTGGCACTTCAGGGCATGCTCTAGTGGCCAAGATTGTTGGTTTGTGTCTGTTTGTGGGTGGGTGTGGTGGAGTTTTTGGGGTTTTTTTTTTGGTGGTTGGACTCAAGGATTTCAAAGGTCCCTTCCAACCATGAATATTCTGTGATTCTGTGAGTTCTTCTCTAGCGTCTCAGTGCTGTGCTTCAAGCCATAAAAGCTGCAGAGTTTGAATGCCCCTCATACAGGGCAGCTCTGGCTTTGCACAGCACAAAGCACCATAGCTGTCATCTCCCTCAGTCATGATTTTGGCTGGGACCCCCTCAAGTAATCCCTGCTGACTTCACCGTGTCAGAAAGGACCTGACGCAGCATTTGGCTGAGGAGATGGAGCTATTTCTGAAGTGACTTGGATGTTCTCGCTCTGAGCTGGCAAGTTGTAGCAGGCAAAGCTATATGAAGGTGGCTGAAGTTGGATCTGTTCATCTGCAGCCCAACATGAACATGAATTTTTGTATCTTTTGAGCACTTATGATTGTTTCAGGTGTTCAGATGTTTTGAAACAGAGACCACTAAAGGGGATCAAGAGCTGTTCAAAATCCTGAAGTGTGAAAAGGGAAGATATAAAATGTGGGATTGCTGTTGGAGCATTGTAGGCTGCATGTGAGATGCCGGGGGACGTAGGGATGGCGTGGCAACATCACTTAAATCGAGATGAAGAAAAACCAAGGCAATCATAGACCTGATGTGCTAATATCCCTCCGTGAGAACTCACAAGAGTGAGTTATTCTCTAATCCCCTAGGTAGATTTATAAATTTGTAAAAAAGAAATATGTCTGGAATAGATTTGTTGATGTTTTGCTGAGGACAAATCGTATCAAACTGATTTGATTCCGTTCTTTGACAGGATAACTGGCCTCATGGCTGGGGGGGTTAGCACTAGATGTGATATGTCTTGACTTTGGTGAGGCTTCTGGCACTGTCCCAGAAGACATTCTCGTAAGCTAGCTGAGGAAATGCAGCTTATTTGGACTCACAATACATTGACTTCAGTGTCAAAGTCAGAGCTCTTTCTCCAGTGGCTGTCCCAGGTCCAGGTCTGCTGAGGCTTTTCATCGGCAGCGTTAGGAAAGCGCTTCGCTTTTGTGGCCGGGCTGGTGGGGTTTGTGGAGATGTGACCGTCCCGAGGGAGCGATGTGCAGCAACAGCCTCCCTCCCACAGGTGCTCCACCAGGGCCACCGGGCCTGTAGTCCAGACGCCCAACTGGGGGTCCCTCCCATCCCACCTCCCAGAACACAGGGACAGTTCTGGCACAAGGCTCACTGTGAAGGGGATTTTGGGGGTCCAGGCCCAAATACAAGTGGAAAAAGGCAGCTGGGAGCGGGAAGGCAGCCAGAGGTTCCACTGGCCCCACACCACGTGTGTCCCCGTGCCCTGGCACCGTGTCCCCAGGGACACAGCAGCTCCTTTCATCACCTCATCAATTCATCATTTCCCTCCCAATGTCAGGGCATGTTATTTGCCCGCAACCACAGCAGGAATGGGGTCTTGGTGAGGAGTGGGGATGGAAGGGAGAGGGAGGCTGAAATGGCTGCCACAGGAAGCTGGCAGGAGACAACAGAGGGGAATGAGCAGTGAGAACAAAACCACCAGCAAGATCTCCTTTCCACCAGCCAGAGACAGTGCCACCAAGTCCAGGGACCTGCCCAAAGGACAGCAGGAGCGAGCAGACTGCAACACCCAAAATAAAAACATAAAAAAGCTGTAGCAAAAAAAATTAAATAAAATAAAAATTAAATCCCAAAATGCACCAAACCTGATTTTTTTTTTCAGCTTGCATATTTTTTAATGAAGTAAAAAATAAAAATAAAAGAAAGAAACACTCCATGGATGTTGTCGGGCTGGCACAGATCACCCTCGTGCATGGAGGGCACAAATGTCCCCGTGCAGGTGGCAGCCAGGTACCCCCCCC